TTCAGAGACACATTTGCCTCTAAGCAGCCCAGGGGATTTTTAGAAATCACCGTTTTTTTGTACATTTCTTTAGCTGGAGTCCAGTTTGTGAGGATTTATCAGCTCCAAACGGCGGTCGCGGTGGATTTTTCCTCTATTTGGGAATTTATTTATTTGTCAACATTATTTATTGTTTGCTTGTAAGATTTCAGTGTGAAACATATGATTTGACATTCCCCGCGTTTGGATGACACACGGACCGCTCCGGTAAGCTCCTGGTTCTCCGGAGGATTAACGTTAGCTCTTTAGCATCCCGGTCCCCGCCGAGCTAACGGCTAGCCTGGGGCTCGGTACCTCCGAGCTGGAGACGAGTTTGCGGAGGTTTACTGTCCTCTTCAGTCCCAGATGCGGAGGGTTAGTCTCCTACGTTATGATTAGGACGCAGCAGCGATAGCTCTAGGGTTCTGCTGGGTCCACAGGTGGTCCAGCACAGGAGGTCCTGGTTCTGCCTGAACAGGTTTCTGTTTGCTAACGATGCCTGGGCTCTTATTCCTGACACCAGACATCAGTCCAGCGGTGGGTGGACGGTGTTAGCCTCACAGCTAGAAGGTTTGAATCCCAACCAGGACTCTGCGGTGTGAGTTAATATTATTACCCTGTAGGCACCACGTGTGCCAAATCCTCCAATCACATCAGCCCGCTTCTCCTCCAACTTCAGGTTTCATTTATTTTTATTTTATTTAACCTTTGTTTAACCAGATGAGTGGTAACTCATTCACGTTAATGACGACGATCTGGCCAAGAGGCAGCAGCAACAGACACAGTTAGCTTTACATCAAAGAACCATTCAAACAAACCAGATCAAAATAAAACAAGTAAGTAAATTTTATTTCTATAGCAATCATCACGGACATGGAATCACAAAGTGCTTCACATAGATCAAAACAAAATAAAACAAAGTCATAAAATCATAACGATCTCAAAACAGAAACAGATTAACATCAGAAAAATTTAACTCGTGTAATTATAACATTTCATAAACAGATGAAAGATTAAAATTTTGAGTTAAAATAAGAAAATAAAATGTTTAGGTAAAAGCGGCTTTAAATAAAAGGGTCTTCAGCTGTTTTTAAAAAGTGTCCAGACTGTCGATGCTGCGTAAGGACGAAGGAAGATCATTCCAGAGTCGGGGTGCAACGGTCTGGAAGGATCGATCACCTCGACTTTTATATCTGGTCTCTGGAACTTCTACAAGGTTTTGGTGTGTGGACCTGAGGGGTTGGAGCATAAGGCTTTAACAGTTCAGTAATGTATGGAGGAGCTTGACCGTGTAGAGCCCTGAAGGTTCTAGTCAGGACTCTAAAATGATCTCTAGAGTTAAAGGGTAACCAGTGCAGAGTCATCAGAACAGGAGTGATGTGTGCTCTTCTGTTTGCTCCAGTTAGGAGCCTCGCTGCAGAGTTCTGGACCAACTGAAGGCGGTCAAGGGCTTTTTTGTTAAAACATGTGAAGTGTGTTACAGTCATCTAGACGGGAGGAGATAAAGGCATGGAGAACCATTTCTAGGTCATGTTTTGACACCAACCTTCGCAGTTTGGAGATATTTATTAAGTTATAAAAGCTGTTTCTGATCAACGTTTTTAAGTGACCTTCAAGAGACATTGATTGGTCAAAAACACCCAAATTCCTTAAGTTTGTCTTGACGGCAGAGGATAAATGACCAAGTTTTAGACTAATCAGGGGAACCATGCTCTCATGGGCAATGATCAGACATTCAGTCTTTTCAGAGTTTAACTGAAGTAACTTATCTTCTAGCCAGCTGGTGATCGCTGATAGACACTCTAGTAATTCAGACAGTTTATAGAACTCAGAATCCTTAAAGAAGCAGTACAGCTGAATATCATCTGCATATAGGTGATAAGAGACAAAATGAAAAGAATCAATTATTATTATTATTATTATTATGTTTATTCATTTCGCAGACGCTTTTATCCAAAGCGACGTACAATTTTTTTAACCTATAGGGCATGTTGTGATCTGTGGGGGAAACCGGAGTACCCGGAGGAAACCCACTGGGGAGAACACGCAACTCCACGCAGAAAGGCGGGTTTTGACCCTGTGACCTTCGCGCTGCGAGGCAACAGTGCTAACCACTGCGCCACCATACAGCCCAATTATCTCTTCAAGAGGGTGTATGTACAGTAAGAAACAACAGTGGACCCAAAACAGAGCCTTGGGGTACCCCACAGAACAGATCGGTAGAATCTGACATGATTTGGTTTATACAGGCACTGTAACTTCTGTTAAAGGTACAATAAAACAGACGTAAAGACATAAATGACTCTTATATATAATGTGTAGAAGCAATCAAAACAGACTTAAAACAGTCTAATTACTCAGAAGCAGGAACATTCATCAGAAACTTTTGATTGTAATGAATTATTGAAGGTAGATAATGGAACGTAGGTAGTGAGCTTCAGTGATTTTTGCAGCTCATTCCAGTCGCTGGAAGCAGCAAACTGGAATGAGGAGCGGCCAAAGGAGGTGGGAGCTTTGGGAATGACCATTTAAACTCATTCCCTGCCAATGACGACTAAAGTCGTCATTTGCATGTTTTTACTGTGTGGGCGTCGGAACGAGCCCCCGCGTTGTGAGAACAAACATCTCCGCTCTGAAGCCGATCTTCATCCGCATACGTCACACGTCATGTGATCAGGAAGCAGAACATCCATGTGTTAAGAGATCGTTTCGGGCCGCTGCTGTAAAAAAAGTGAGGCACGAACGGGAAAAGCTTCTGCCGATCACAATTCAACAACGGATTATGAAATAACGGCTAACGCTTGAAACACGCGGATTCTTCGCTTTGTTTTGGTTGTTTTGGCGTCAACATCATCCTAGCGCGCAACGTTCTGTCACTCTTCAAAAAACAGTAAAGACGGTGAGAAACGCTGGCAGCAAAGTGCTTTACTGATCAGGAAACGGCTGGCAGCGAATGAGTTAAGATCCTGGTTCTGGGGTCTCATTTATCAAACACTGCATAGAATCATTACTAAAACAGTGTTAAGCTCAGCAAAAAAAATGTTTTTCTTACGTCAAGTAGGTTTGTGATCTATCAAACATGGAGTACGCACAGCTTCACGTAGTCTCCGCTTTATAAATCACAAACGTCCTTGAAAGGTTCTCAGGTGTTTTTGGATCACGTCCCGCCCTCAATACGCCCAATTCCTCCCATAAATGGTCAATGCAAAGTGCCTTGTGGATCTCATGCATATACATAAGCCGACTCGTTGCAGCGCTGCACAAAGCAGTACAAGTGATAATGCTGCAGGATTTCATAATGTTATCCTTCTCAGCAGCAGCACTGCAGGTGCTCTCCATGTCCAACATGTGCATAAGCCAGGTCCTTAGTCAACTTAAAGTTGTGCACATTTTTCCGCTACGTTTTCTTTTATAAATCCCAAAGTTTGCGTGGAAAGTTGCTTACGCAGTTTTCTGACCCCGTTTTGTACGTAAGCAAGCTTGATAAATGAGGCCCCTGGTCTTTAGGGCCTTGCATGGACAAGCACCATCTTACATTGGTGATCTTCTTAGTCCCTACACCCCCAGCAGGTCCCTGAGATCCAGTGACCAAATCCTACTGGTTGAGCAGCACCAGGCTAAAGGTCAAAGGTGACAGATCATCTGCTGCTGTGGCCCCCAGACTCTGGACCTCTCTCCCCCTGAGCCTGAGATCAGTGGACTCAGTGGTCTCCTTTATTCCGCCTTTCCTGCGATCCACTGGTTCCCTCTTTATTATTCAAGTTCCCTCTCCCTTGCCTCATATTTTGTACTATTTGTATTTTTAGTCATTTTAAACATATTTTTTTATAAATCTTTTATATCAAATATTTTTGTTTTTTTGTGACGTGTCTCGTGATTTTTCTCTTGAGGTGCTAAATAACAGATTGTTTTCTTTCTTTGTTTTCTTTCTTTCTTTCTTTCTTTCTTTCTTTCTTTCTTTCTTTCTTTCTTTCTTTCTTTCTTCTTTCTTTCTTTCTTTCTTTCTTTCTTTCTTTCTTTCTTTGGGGCACCTGGGGGAGTTTAGCCTTGCCTTCAGCATTGCTCCTTTATTTGTTTATATTAAAAAAAACTAGTTAGAGAAACATCTCAGTCAGTTATTTGAAATGTTATGTCAAAATTAATTTTAGAATTTAATCTTTATTTTAATTCACCTGCTGCTGTCTTCACAACAGACTTTTTAAATGGTGAGCAGCAGAAACATCTTAGGTGTGTTCTTGCTGTGCGTTATTTCTAATTCCATGTTGTCGTTCCTTTTTTAAAGCACAGAAACGGTTTTGTTACCTGTTGTTGACGCTACGTTTCGCTGACAGCTGCCGGCTTCTTCAGGCTGACACTGATGGTGGCGCGTCTGCTGCCTGCAGATAAACGGAGAAGGAAGTGACGCGCCACCATCAGTGTCAGCCTGAAGAAGCCGGCAGCTGTCGGCGAAACGTAGCGTCAACAACAGGTAACAAAACCGTTTCTGTGCTTTAAAAAAAGAACGACAACATGGAAGCAGAAACATGTATACATTTAAAAAAAATCTGGTTGTTTCTTTACTCATTACATTAGATTTTTGCATTGGGTGTTACATTTATGTCTTAAATAAGATGAATTTATGGATTGAGGGAACATTAATATGATTTATTAACACTAGTCTTCCCTGGGGGGGAGGGGGGCAGCAATTTTTTAGGGGTGGCCATGGCACCCTCTGGCCACCCCTTGGGGCGCCACTGATCCCGTGGGCCCACAGGTATGAAAGCGGAAGTTTCCTGTGGGCCTCTAGGTGGCGCTGGCATCACTAGACTGATGAGGTCCTGCTGCTGAAGGGGGTTCTGCTGGACTCTGTCTCTGCTTTGATACGTTCTCACCCACTGGTGCAGATCATTTTGTTGTGAGACTTCGCAGCCAAGAGTATTTGGTACTTCAGCTGCGTTATGACCTCATGATGAGTCACCAGCTCTGCTCTGCTCTACTCACAGGGATGGATAACGCTCATACTAAAACTGTGGAGGAGGTCTTGGGCTTCTTCGGTGTGAACGAGTCTACGGGCCTGAGCTGTGAGCAGGTGAAGAGGAGCAGGGAGCGATGGGGACCCAACGGTAACAGGATTCATTCACGTCATAATGCAGCGCTTTGTTCTGTCACACGTCTGCTGGAGAGTTTCCGACCCGGTGATCCATCTTCTCCATAAGCAGCAACTTTTGTAAAGCTGTAATGAAACCATGACATGTTTGGAGAAGCATCTAAACACACCGCTGGAGTCTGAAGCATTTACATTCTAGCATGCTGTTTGATCTGGACTGATATTTCATCTTTCTCTTCACCTGCAGAGTTACCAGCAGAGGAAGGTGAGCCCACGCTCCTGCTTTGAGTCCGACCCGAGCCAGGTGTGGAGCTCTTGAGTTACTGTGTGTTTAATCTGCAGGGAAGTCCCTCTGGGAGCTGGTCCTGGAACAGTTTGAAGATCTGCTGGTCCGGATTTTGCTGCTGGCTGCATGTATCTCCTTTGTAAGAAAACACAAACAAATGATGAGCAGATGTTTTAGCCCAGAAGTCAGACATGAAGTCTGCCGGTGAAGTAAATCATCCACCTGGATGTGAGTGTGTTTAGTCTGGTCATGAAGCAGGACCTGCTTTTCTCCTCGGGTCTTCTCCCTGCTGCAGACCCTGGCTTGGTTTGAAGAAGGCGAGGGGACCATCACGGCTTTTGTGGAACCCTTCGTCATCCTCCTCATCCTGATAGCCAACGCTATCGTGGGAGTTTGGCAGGTAACCAGTTTAATGTAAAGCCCGATAGGCAGCCGGTTCTCCTCTGAAAACCTCGCATGTTTCTGTCTGCTAGGAACGAAATGCAGAGAACGCAATCGAAGCTTTAAAGGAATACGAGCCTGAAATGGGGAAAGTGTACCGACAGGACAAGAAAAGTGTCCAGCGCATCCGAGCCAGAGACATTGTCCCTGGGGACATAGTTGAAGTGGCTGGTAAGTGGAACAGCCTCGGCTGTTTTTGTTAGGGGTCAGTGGGCAGGAGGCTCCTCTCAGGCGATAAACTACAGCTCAGCCTCTGCAAGACGCCTCGATCCGACACGCACACGAGGGCTTGTGGCCGGTGGGCGTTTTCATTCCTTCCTCCTGTGGCTTCTCAGGACATCTGAGCGAAGGCTAGGTTCATGCCTCTGCTGTCACACACAGAGTGGCCTTTGAAACACGGGACATGAATAATACTGGTGTCTGGAACAATCTCTGGAAAGTAATGTCCCATGAGAACATCCAGGTGGCATAAAACCCCAAAGCTTCAGGTTGTTGACTGACTTGCATTGAGAGTGAAGCACCAGAACACGCGTTTCCCACACATGGTTGAAATAACATGGTGGAGTCTTTGTTCAGCCTTTCCTTGGAAGCGTCTCCATCTACACGCCTGCATTCCCTTCTGCTGTAACCATGGAAACTCGGCAACATAAACACAAACGGTCTGACTGCTCGGGCCCCGGGCTCTACGAGCAGGATGTACAGGTGCTGGCCAGTAAATTAGAATATCATCAAAAGGTTGAAAATATTTCAGTAATTCCATTCAAAACGTGAAACTTGTACATTATATTCATGCAATGCACACAGACCAATGTATTTCCAATGTTCATTACATTTAAATTTGATATTCATAAGTGACAACTAATGAAAACTCCAAATTTGGTATCTCAAAAAATTAGAATATTCTGAAAAGGCTGAATATAGAAGACACCTGCTGCCACTCTAATCAGCTGATTTACTCAAAACACCTGCAAAGGCCTTTAAAAGGTCCCTCAGTCTTGTTTTGAAGGCACCACAATCATGGGGAAGACTTCTGACTTAACAGCTGTCCAAAAGACAATCATTGACACCTTGCACAAGGAGGGCAAGACACAAAAGGTGATTGCTAAAGAAGCTGGCTGTTCGCAGAGCTCTGTGTCCAAGCACATTAACAGACAGGCGAAGGGACGGAAAAAATGTGGTAGAAAAAAGTGTACAAGCTCTAGGGATAACCGCACCCTGCAGAGAATTGTGACGACAAACCCATTCAAAAATGTGGGGGAGATCCACAAAGAGTGGACTGCAGCTGGAGTCAGCGCTTCAAGAACCACCACGAGGAGACTCATGAAAGACATGGGATTCAGGTGTCGCATTCCGTGTGTCAAGCCACTCTTGAACAAGAAACAGCGCAAGAAGCGTCTCGCCTGGGCCAAGGACAAAAAGGACTGGACTGATGCTGAGTGGTCCAAAGTTATGTTTTCTGATGAAAGCAAGTTCTGCATTTCCTTTGGAAATCAAGGACCCAGAGTCTGGAGGAAGAGCGGAGAAGCACAGAATCCACGTTGCATGAGGTCCAGTGTAAAGTTTCCACCGTCAGTGATGGTGTGGGGTGCCATGTCATCTGCCGGTGTTGGCCCACTCTGTTTCCTGAGGTCCAGGGTCAATGCAGCCGTCTACCAGGAAGTTTTAGAGCACTTCATGCTTCCTGCTGCTGACCAACTTTATGGGGATGCAGACTACACCTTTCAACAGGACTTGGCACCTGCACACAGTGCCAAAACCACCAGCACCTGGTTCAAGGACCATGGTATCCCTGTCCTTGATTGGCCAGCAAACTCGCCTGACCTTAACCCCATAGAAAATCTATGGGGTATTGTGAAGCGGAGGATGCAATACGCTAGACCCAACAATGCAGAGGAGCTGAAGACGACTATCAGAGCAACCTGGGCTCTCATAACACCTGAGCAGTGCCACAGACTGATCGAGTCCATGCCACGCCGCATTACTGCAGTTATTGAGGCAAAAGGAGCCCCGACTAAGTATTGAGTGCTATACATGCACATTCTTTTCATGTTCATTCTTTTCAGTTGGCCAACATTAGAGAAACAAACATTTTTTCATTGGCCTTTAGAATATTCTAATTTTCTGAGATACCAGATTTGATGTTTTCATTGGTTGTCACCTATAAATATCAAATTTAAATGTAATGAACATTGGAAATACATTGGTCTGTGTGCATTGCATGAATATAATGTACAAGTTTCACGTTTTGAATGGAATTACTGAAATATTTTCAACCTTTTGATGATATTCTAATTTACTGGCCAGCACCTGTATTTATCTATTTAAAATGAGCAGGTCGTGGGACTTTCAGCATGTTGCAACGCTTGTTTTCAGGTTTTTTATTTGAGCTCCTAAAAACATTAGAGCGAGGGAACTTGAGCATTCTGCGTAGACAGATCTCCTATTTCTAATGCATCCTCATCCTTATGTACAGGAAGTTTAAAGAGCAAGTCACCCCCAAATCAACTTTTTTCCCCGATAAACTATATAAATGCGTGTCTAGTCATGCTGCAGACACGTGTAGTCAATAGTTTTGCACTTTAGTGCATTTTAGTTAAAATTTTAATGTTCTGCCTAAAACTGCCAGTGTTGTGTCGTTGTCAGGTAAAAACTCTGCACTGTATTTGAATTTAAATCTGCCACCGCTATTGGCTAAGAGATATGCTATGATGTAAACTGGTACATTATGATGTCACAATGCTGTGGTGAGCCTGTGTGTGTGTGTGTGTGTTTGTTAGCGGCTCCGCCCTCTCGGTGTTTGTTAGCGGCTCCGCCCTCTCGGTCTGCCAGGTAACAGCATTTGTTACATTTTTTTAAACATGAAGTGAGAGTGGAGTTAGACTCTGGTAGGGGGTGACTTGCTCTTTAATGAGCTGGTTTCTTTTTATCGTACTGCCCGATCTGGATTTACCTGAGCAAACCGGTAGGAGCCTCCTGTTGGATCATTACTGCAACACGTTATTTAACCCAACTGGTGCACTGAGCTGCTTCTCATTGCACCAGTTGGGTTGGGAAACACAACTGTTGTCTGCCTATTGCTCTTTAGAGAGAAACCAGGTGGAAAGTCACATCTGGGGGTCGTGGAGAAGATGTCGGTCTGTGTGAGAAGGACCAGGGGCCTCATTCATAAAGCTTGCTTACGCACAAAACGGGGTGGGAAAACTGCGTAAGCAACTTTCCACGCAAACTTCAGGATTTATGGAAGAAAACTTGGCAGAAAAATGTGCACAACTTTAAGTTGACTAAGGACCTGGCTTACGCACATGCTGGACATGGAGAGCACCAGCAGTGCTGCTGCTGAGAAGGATAACATGAAATCCTGCAGCATTATCACTTGTACCGCTTCGTACACACAGAACAAGACCCCGCACACGCACACACACACACACAGCCTGAAGCACAGAATACTGAATGCAGAATACGGACGGGGACAGATTGAGACAGAACACCATGCGTCTGTGATGGTGTGTGTCCTGTCACTGTGACCCGATTGATCATGCACCCTGGCTACTTGTACAGGGGACATCTGTGTTCGGCTGACTGGTTAGCGTGCGTGACTTTCACCCGGGAGTCTGGGGATCGAATCCCAGTTGGACCATATTTTTATCTCCGCCACAGATCTCTCTGAAGAAGTCAGCATTGACGGCTTCAGCAGCGCTGTGCCACTCCGTGGATTTTCTCTTATTTGTTTTGCAAAAGCACTTCCTTCCATTTCTCCACCTCACCCACAGGTACCTCAACTTCTGCTTCTGTGAAATAGCGCTTCCTTGATCTGCGGTCGCCATCGTTAATGGTGACGTGCTGCAACGAGCCGGCTTATATATGTGCACGAGATCCACAATTCACTTCACTTCAAAAATACTTTATTAATCCCAGAGGGAAATTGATTAGGCAAGGCACTTTGCATTGACCATTTATGGCAGAAAGTGGGCGTGTTGAGGGCGGGATGTGATCCAGAAACACCTGAGAACATTTCTAGGTAGTTTGTGATTCATAAAGTGGAGATTGCGTAAAGCTGTGTGTACTCCATGTTTGATAGATCACAAGCCTATTTGGCGTAAGTAAATTTTTTTTGCTGAGCTTAAAAAACTGTTTTGGTAAGGATTCAACACAATGTTTTATAAATGAGACCCCAGATCATCGGCATCAAGCAGAGAGAACATCTAAGGAGATGAAGAATCGACTAAAACTGGGTTCAGAGTTGTCCAACGCTTTACTAAAACTGGTCTGATGAGTCCAGATGGACCCTGGTCCACAGTGATGGTGCATCAGGGTAAGAAGAGAGGCAGATGAAGTGATGCTCCCATCATGCCTAGTGGCTTCTGTTCAAGCCTGTGGGGGCAGTGCTATGATCTGGGCTTGCTGCAGTTGGTCAGGTCTAGGTTCAGCAACAGGATGTGCTCCAAGAATGAGGTCAGCTGACTACCTGAATATCCTGAATGACCAGGTTATTCCATCTTCCCTGATGGCACGGGCATATTCCCAGAGGACGATGCCACGATTCATCGGGCTCAATTAGTGAAAGAGTGGCCAGGTTGGTGCTTCTAACCACCACCAGCTTAGGTCAGTCGGGTAAGTGTGTTGCCCAAGGACACAACAGCAGATTTCCCAGTAAGGAGCTGGGATTAAAATGGCAACCCGATGGTTAGTGCACAGTCAAAACTGCCATTGACTGTAAAAACAAGCTTTTCAGTCCATGTTTGTTTTTCTTGCACTCATTAAATAACATTTTGAAAGCCAGAAGTGTAAACTCACGGTTCCCATGAGACTTCCATCTGGTTCTCAGAGCCAGCAGCAAGCATTGCTCCACAGACTGAAGGGTCCTTAAAGGAGCCACGGTCATGTTGGACATTCCCAACAGTCTGCACTGCTCCAAAGCTCTGTGCAGCAGTCAGGCATACCCGACAAGAGAAGAAGGATAGCGCCGTACCTGCCACAGACATCAACTAAGCGTTTGGCTAAAATGGCGGAGAGCTCAGACTCGCACACTGGTGAACATCGATGTTTTTCTGTCTCTTCTCACTTTTCACCAAACCTGCAGTTGGGGACAAGGTTCCAGCTGACATCAGGTTAACGTCCATCCGTTCTACCACGCTCCGAGTGGATCAGTCCATTCTGACAGGGGAGTCCGTATCAGTCCTCAAACACACAGATCCTGTACCAGATCCCAGAGCTGTCAACCAGGACAAGAAGAACATGCTGTTTTCTGTAAGTCTTTTTTTATATTTAAATACATAAATGTGGGTCTGCACACGCTTGCTGTACCAGGCAACCAGAGCAGGAGCAGTGGTCATAAAATGTCAAACAGAACATCAAGTTTTTTTATTCTATAGTTGCTTCTAGCCCCGCTCAGTGGGATGAGTGTCCTCCCTGACTCTGGGAGATCATTGGTTCAAATTCATGGTCAGGTCATGCCAAGGACTTAAAGGTGTGGTTCACTCTTTTAATCAACACATCTGAAGTGGTCTCTAGTAGGAATGAATGTCTTGTAAGTTGTACTTTAGGTACAAAAAGCCTGTTTCAGGATCTAGCTGCTCGCGGACCGTTTCGCTACCATGTGTTGTCCGCGAGAGCGGCATGAGCGCGTTTGATTGGCTTAGTGAACTGAGCTGTATTTGAATGTTTACTTTGTGAAGTGCCTTGAGACGACTCTTGTCCTGATTTAGTGCTTTATAAATAAACTAAATTAAATTGAATTTGGAGTTTTACTTCCTATTAGGGTTGTCACGGTGTGAAAATGTAACCTCAAGGTTATTGTGACCAAAATTATCACGGTTTTCGGTATTATCGCGGTATTTTTTAAAGGTGTTACATTTTCAGACAACTACATAAACCCTGTATATCAGGAAAATATTGTCCTCAGTTTGTGTCTAAATTTTGCCTAAAATGTGTTATTTTGTAATTATGTTGTTTATTTGTTTACATTTTTCCCTTTAGTGTCACGAGTAGAACTTTAAGAGACCCTTGAGGACGCCAAACACAATAAAAGTAGATAAAAAAGTCTTTATTTGAAGCAGAGTTACCAGAGGCTGGAGACAGAGTCGGAGACAGGCGGAGGTCGTAATGGCAGGCAGCGTACAAGGCAGGGGTCAGAAGAAAAACGAGGTCCGAAGGCTGAGGTCAGGCAGGGTGGATGGCTGGAAGATTTACTTGCAAAGGCTTTCAATAATCTGGCAGAGAACTGGTGGCCGACTGGTTCTTATATAGTAGGGGGAGCAGGTGAAGTGGATGAAGCTGATGACAGGAACAGGTGAGATGAATGGAGTTGATTGTGGTTGCCAGGGGAAACGGGGCTTGTCAGGAGCTTGGTGAGGGGACCAGGTGAGCTGAATGAAGGTTGAAGGCTAAATGAGGAGGCAGAGGAGGGTGAAGGATTGGGAGTCATGACATTTAGTCTTTAAAATACCAATATTCGCCCATAACTTCTTATTTTATGTCTGTTTGATGTCATCATTTAAAAATATTAGACCAGATGATACTCAGTACTCAAGTAGCCTTCTAATCAGATACTTTTTTTACCCTTACTTGAGTAATAAACCCTATATCAGGAAAATATTGTCCTCGGTTTGTGTCCTTCCAGTGAGCTTTGCAGATGTGGGAAAATGTCATCAGGCAGTAATCATTGTTAAATTCATAATTATTCTCGGAGAGAGACCAACTCTTATCTGCCCCTGGGAGCCCCGTAATGCATAGCGTCATTTCAACATGGCGGTGTCCGCGACACGGTTTATATGCAGGTAGCGGCGCTGCGGCTGCTTTATATAGCGACTCGTTGCGTTCTCCCTCAACCCAAATCCTCGGATCACGCATTTTAGCTAAAACGCTAACGTTAGCTTGCCTTGCGTTGACTGTAGAGTTGTGGGTGATGGTCACGCAGATGTGTCATGAGATTTGAAGCGTTGCTGCCTTTCACAGACACTTTTTCTGCACGTGCTGCAAACAGGATAGCCGTCTTCTATCAGCTGTCCCTCGGCATTCTTCAGATATCCAAAAGATGCCCGTACTTCCCACTTTGTCTTCTTTGAGGGATAATAAATGTCCTGAGCGCTTCCGTCTCCTCCTTTGACCATTATTTCAGCTTTAGCTTCAAGAAAGTTTTGGTTGTAAACAACAAAGTGCGCATGTGCCGCCGGCAACTTCAGCAGATGATACGGTGGCTGGTAAGGGTCACCGCGCCTACACCGCAGCCACAGTAATCCACCGAGATAATATATTTTTAAAAAACAAGACGGTTATTATTATTGTCACCTTTTTTACCGGGGTTTACCGCTATACTGGTTACCGTGACAACCCTACTTCCTATTATTTGAACATCTCTCCTCAACACGACTCTACCACCGACTCTGTTTGCTCTGCATCGTTGATGTTTTATCTCCACAAATAACACAAGCATGGAGGAGTTCTGCTGTGTGGTGGAGTTGCTAATGCTAACAGTTAGCTTCTTCTAGCCGAGACGTTCTCTGCTGTTTCCTGGACGCTAAACCAATAACAGCCTTCCCTGTCATGAGTCCATGAAGTGACAGTGTGGCGTAGATCTGTCAGGATTTTCTAATCCCAGAGTTTCACCGTCTGTTTTCTATCAGAAGCTAATGCAGGAGATAGGTGTAGGAGACTATTTTCATGTTCAGCCTGCATGAAACAGTCGGAGAGATCACTTAGAATCAATAATCATTAAAAATGTGTTTTTCAGTCAGCCACACCTTTAAAAATGGGACCCAATGCCTCCCCACTTGACACTCAGCACGAACTATTCTGACGAAAAGTGTAACCATTTAAACGGACCCAGATTAGTTTACCCAGTAAACCAGTGTCCCTGCTGCTCTATGAGTTTATGCTGACTGACAGCAGGACGTCGTCACCAACACGTGCTGTGGTGCCTGCTCTAGATCTGGTGGAACAGGCGACGTCAGAGCTGCTGCCTGGCTTTTTATCACTGAGTGTATTTATAGTTATTCAGAAACTAACATCAGCTCCAGACCAGGACCCTCATTATCAAACTTTCTGTATTCCATCCTATGAAAGTTCATACGAACGGCCAAAATCCAGTAAAACGTGGTGGCCATACAATCTACTGTTGACAAATCTCGCCTGTGCAAAGATCTTGGATATGTCTAAAAACCTCAGCCAATAACACGTTTGGGACTGAAACCATCTATAGAGCTCCGGACGTCACGTGACTCGAGAGTAGACGTCATGTTGGCAGGCAACAAAGGTAAACAAAATGAACGTAATCGGCTTGGATTTTTACTCTGTCGGAGTTAACTTCACACTTTAAAACCAAAGAAATCGTTTTATATAGTCAGACATTAAATAGACTAAACATCTCCGACCCTTACCGTGCCCCTGGGATACTTTTTAAAAACGCCAGAAGCTGTCGGAGCAGACCTGGCTAGGGATTGCCTTGGGATTCTCCCGGAGGAGCTGGCCCAGGTGGCTGGGGAGAGGGAAGTCTGGGCCTCTCGACTTAAGCCTGGTTTATGCTTCTCCGTCAGCTCCGCAAGGGACAGACACGGATTGAGGGAAGCGTTTTGCTCTTTTACTTCTCCGTCTCCTGGAGAGTGTTGCAAAGCAATTGCCCGGCAGGACAGCAGAGGGCGTAGCGCTGTTCTGTGGTATCCTGTCATGTATCGGTCCAAGATCGTGTGTTTATATTGTGTTTTTTGTGTTTATAAGAGACTTTTTAACACGGACATATTTGTCTCTCATTCTCCCACCGCTTCATGCGCTCCCCACCTCTAAACCCACGTTTCCTGTCATTTCCGTCCACAAATAAAACGCTTGCTGCGCATCTTTTCACTCCTCCAGTCACGGGAGGATGAAACGTTCATATTTTTAGAGTTTTTTCGCGAGGTATTCTTCAAGCTTCTCCGTGTCTGTCGCTAGTTATCCTCGGCTCTCTTTGCAATGGCGGCGCTGTAAACAACAGCGGCGTCCTGACCAATCACAAGCTTGCGTAATCCGTCTTGTTCGACGGATGTTTAAAAAAGTGGGCTCGACTCCGTACGTACTTGCGTGCCTGCCGGAGCCCTACGCAAGGACGGATAATGGCGCTGCGTGTCTCCGCACTGACGCAGACGGAGAAGCATAAATCAGGCTTTAGGCTACTGCCCCCGCAACCCGACTCCGGATAAGCGGATGAAAATGGATGGATGGACAAGTAACAGATTTACACGTAAATAGTTTAAATAGAGTGCTGTGCTGTTTGAATGTATAAACTGAACACCAAGAGAAATCACTAGTTTGATTTTTTTCCGTGAATAAAATAAAAATGTCAGGCAGGAGCGTCTCAGGATCTGTCTGAGATCGGTCTCGGTGAGACAGATAATAGCAATCCAAAGTGCTTTTTATGTGTGATCTGGCAACTGATCAACCATTGCTTCAAAATTAAATACAGCTTAGCCGGTTAATTGCTGTGATCATAAAACACGTAAACGGCAGCACGCAGAACTCACGAGGCAACGTTTTACGTGACGTTTACTTGTTGCTATGAGTAATAAGACAGAAAAAGCCCCGCCAAAATAAGTTTAGGAAGCCCACTAAGAATCGTAATAAAAGCATTTAAAATAAATACCATACACAGCTGAGGAAACGTTGGTTTAAGTACCTGATATGAAGCGGTCGCTGCATAAGTGAAAACCTTTACTCTCGAGATCCCACAGTTTCATTTTAGCCCGGTCACTAGCGCGTTTTATTACAATGATCCAACGTTTGCGGCGCTCCGGATCTTGGGGAATCCTGTAGATGGCTCATTCCTTATGTCGTCCGTGTCTGTTCTGCATCCTGGGACACAACAGGAATCTACCATATTTCCTGTTTGATTGAGTTTTCTGACAATAACAAATAGTCCAGCTGCCGGCTTCTGCCTGCCAATATGGCGCCGTTTCGATTTGAACTGTTGCATGCCGGGAGAAGTGACGTCAACTCCCGGAGCTCTATTGGACCATCCCATTGTCTGTCTCACCCAATCGCACTTCCCTGGGTCCCCCATTCATTACACACTCGCGCATTTAGCAGCGGCTCAATGGTGTGAGAGCTTCTCCGCTCAATAATATCAGAGAAGGAGAAACAGCCAGCTTTAGGACATACTACCAGAGACCCACAAAGAAAAACACCATCTGAGGTCACGGACCACAAAAGATAGGAGACTGGTGTTTAGCACCATCTCGTTTCCTCTGGTAATGCGGGTTTCTGGTTCCAGTGGACACAGATGCAGGGACGATACCCGGCGGGGGAGGTGAGTGCTCGGTGACCGCGTTTGTGTTCATAACCTAGCTCGTTGTGTAGATTTGCTAAAGTAGCTTTAAGGAAATGCATGATGTTCTGTTTGGAGTGAGTTTTGTTCTTGTTTGAAAAGGTTTGGAGCCTCCTGCGAGCTGACTGTCAGTGTGGTTACCTTGGTAACGTGCATGTTTGGGGAGCAGAGGGGAGAAGGTTCTGGTAGTTGTAAAAACTTGAACATGTCTGTTGCTGCACCAAGGGTCCCAAGTCACGGGGTCTGCTCAGGAGGCTCTCTGTTCTCACCAAGTGGATCAGTGAGCTCCTAGAAGACTTGTTCCCTCCCGAGTGCGCCATCTGCCAAGTCCTCCAGTAACACAAGGTCTGCCGGATCTTGCCAGAACAACATAATGGAACAGTCTTATTTTTAAATGGTGTGTTCTGGTACCGGTTGGCTAGGATCTGTTATCTCACCGCCAATCTGTGTTTACGGAAAGTAAAGAAAGGCGTTATTTTGGCCGGGGAGCATTGATAATAGGGAGTTTTGTTCCCTCCATTTTTGCACAAGGTTCCCTTGATAAGCTCCGCCCCTCAGTGCTGAAGTGAATCATGGGTAATTTCTGGTCAAAGAACCGACGCCACAGATGTTCTGTTTCGTGTCGGAGCTCTGACAGGCAGGAGGCCCTCATCATCTGTAATCTGCTGCGGGTGGTTGGGTTGGGGGTCGTCTGAGAATGGCTGCTTTCTTCACGTCGTTTACTTCCGTGTTGCTCTGAATCCCAACGCCCACCTGTCAGTGTGAGGTGTCGCTTCTGCACCCATGACTGATGGTCAAAAGTGAACAGTCAGAGCAGAACGTTGGGTCCCTGCTCTTCTCCTCCCTGACAGGATCCAGGTCTGATGTCTTGTTCCTCCAGGGCACCAACATCGCTGCAGGCCGAGCCATTGGGGTCGTCGTAGCAACAGGGGTGCAGACTGAAATTGGGAAAATTCGAGATGAGATGGCCTCCACCGACCCTGAAAGGACCCCGCTCCAACAGAAACTGGACCAGTTTGGAGAACAGCTGTCTAAGGTTAATCAGTGAGGAGCCTAGCTCTCTGCCTCTGCCTTTAAAACCAGCATCTTCTGTGGAAGCTGTAGGACTTGCTGCTCTGACTTTGTGTGTGCCGACCTCCAGGTCATCAGTGTGATTTGTGTGGCTGTGTGGGCCATCAACGTTGGACATTTTAACGACCCGGTGCACGGAGGCAGCTGGCTGAGAGGAGCCGTTTACTATTTTAAGATTGCTGTAGCGTTGGCTGTAGCTGCTATACCAGAGGGTAAAGTGTCCATTCTTTTATTATGCCTTCAGAGATAACAGCTCTCTAAAGTACTCGCCCAAAGGATTATTATGACCACCCTCTTGCCTTCCGAACTGCCTTCATTCTACGTGGCATTGATCGTCTAGCATCAACAAAGCATTGTGGCCCACAGGACTGCCACATACTGGATGCTTTTCCCTTTTCACACCATTCTTTGTAAACCCTAGAAATGGTTGTGGGTGAAATCCCAGTAACTGAGCAGATTGTGAAATACTCAGACCGGCCCGTCTGGCACCAACAACCACGGCTTAAATCTCCTTTCTTTCCCATTCTGACCTTCAGTTTGGAGTTCAGGAGATGGTCTAGACCAGGACCACGCCCCTAAATGCAATGAAGCACCTGCCCTGTGATTGGTTGGTTAGATAACTGCATTAAGGAGAAGTTGAACAGGTGTTCCTAATGATCCTTTGGGTGAGTGTATAGTGTGTTTGTAAACTTGGGACTGCTACATCCAGCTGTTCTAACGAGATTGGAGAGTTACTGGACATCTTCGTGCTCTGGCTGTTTCCTGTTGCAGGCCTTCCTGCTGTGATCACCACATGTTTGGCCTTGGGCACTAGGAGGATGGCCAGGAAGAACGCTATTGTCCGCAGTCTGCCGTCGGTGGAGACGCTGGGTTGCACCTCTGTGATCTGTTCAGACAAGACGGGCACGCTAACCACAAACCAGATGTCTGTCTGCAGGGTGAGACCAAGCACATGCTGTTTCAGCTAATGTGGCCTTCCTCTAGCTGCGTTGCCATGGATACGACCCACACTCGCTATGATTGGTCCTGGATAGGTCTGGACCCAAGACTATCTTCAGGATTCTTTAGTGATGGAATGGCTTCATGTGCGTTCTTCTACCCTAACTCAACTAATCAGCCCCTTTAATGTGTGTGTGTGTGTGTGTGTGTTTAGATGTTTATAGTAGACAGGGTCGCAGGAGAGCACTGCCACCTGAGTGAGTTCACAGTGACAGGATCTACTTACGCCCCTGAAGGGGACGTGTGAGTGTCTTTGACCTTTAACAGCTAACAAATGACTAATATGTCCTTTTCAGATGACTTTCATTTAGTTACTTTTAGTTACTTTTCTTTTTCCTTAGCTCTCTTTCCTCTTGTCTTTCCAGTTATAAGGATGGCTCCGTGGTGAAGTGCAGTCAGCACGAAGGCCTGGTGGAGATGGCCTCCATCTGTGCGCTGTGCAACGACTCGTCGCTGGACTACAACGAGGTGTGAGATGCAAACATGGCGGCAGCGGCAGATCAGAGCTGCGGAGCTCCTAAAGTTCTGCCGAGCCTACACGATTCACCGTGTGGGAGACACGACACTCAGCATGGGCTCAAGTACCAATGAACATAAACCTCGACTGGACCAATGATTGTTGGAAAGTCGAATGATTGTAAATCCAGTGCATGGGGGGGTGTTAAATCCTCCTACATGACGGCAGACGTGGGTCCACCCAAAGAGCCCTGGAGCCCTGCTCAGGCTTTAGATTAGTTCCGTTAGGTAAAGTCCTGCTTCTGCTTTATTTCTGTCGCTACTCGGTGAGATCTGACGAGATCCGATCCTTGAGGATCATAAAGGATGACGACCTACCAGAGCCCGAATATCGTAGAACCGTCTATTTGCATTCCATCCCCCGTCTGCGCAGTGATTCATGGACGCGTCTACCGGCACACATCTTTTATTTATTTATTTATTTATTTATTTATTTATTTATTTTTCACTCAGCCGAGTCACGCTATTTGCTAGTCTGCTTCAACCGGCGCCACAGCTGCAACAACGAACCAATCAGAGCAAGTTTAAGGCAGCATGTTGGTTTGTTCAGCTCGGCAGAGCTGAGGAAATAAATCTAATAATCGATGCATTAAGATGCGGACATAAACGATTATGGATCTTTGAAGAAGCACACCATACTGGATTATAGCGGCTAGCCGCTAGCATTAGCCGCCAGCTTGCTCCATCTCCAAGCGGCCATTACATGTGTTCTCACGCGTCTGCTGCATCAGGAAACCTCCAGGTCGATGTTCTGCCCTAAACATTCTAAAAGCTTCGTGGCTTTTATGATTTGGGAATGCTCGTTTGTGTTTTAGCGAACTTTTCACCGTGGATGCCGACCAGAGTTCCGTTTGTCCCGTCTGTGTAGAGAGACGAGCCAAACCCCGCCCCCGCGTCGCCAGGAAACGGCTACAGAGAGCTTCAGGGCCAAAATACCGGGAATGTTCTCCACTGAGTGGTGGATGCATAAACATCATGAGTTAGATTTTTCTTCTCCGGACAGAAAATAATTACTGGTGACGTTGTGGATGCCTGGAGAAGAGCCACCAATAGACAGAGTTTAAATGATTTCACATTAATTATAATAAAAGTTCCCGTGGGACATTTGAGACACGCGTCTCTAGCTCTCAACTGGGAAAGATGGATGGATGGATGGATGAGTGGATGGAAGGATGAATGGATGGATGGATGAGTGGATAGATGGATGGGTGGATGAGTGAATGGGTGGGTGGATAGATGGATGGGTGGATGAGTGAATGGGTGGGTGGATGAGTGAATGGGTGGGTGGATAGATGGATGGGTGGGTGGATGAGTGAATGGGTGGGTGGATAGATGGGTGGGTGGATGAGTGAATGGGTGGGTGGATAGATGGATGGGTGGATGAGTGAATGGGTGGGTGGATAGATGGATGGGTGGATGAGTGAATGGGTGGGTGGATGAGTGAATGGGTGGGTGGATAGATGGATGGGTGGATGAGTGAATGGGTGGGTGGATGAGTGAATGGGTGGGTGGATAGATGGATGGGTGGATGAGTGAATGGGTCGGTGGATAGATGGATGGGTGGATGAGTGAATGGGTGGGTGGATGAGTGAATGGGTGGGTGGATAGATGGATGGGTGGATGAGTGAATGGGTGGGCGGATAGATGAATGGGTGGGTGGATGAGTGAATGGGTGGGTGGATGAGTGAATGGGTGGGTGGATAGATGGGTGGGTGGATGAGTGAATGGGTGGGTGGATAGATGAATGGGTGGATGAGTGAATGGGTGGGCGGATAGATGAATGGGTGGGTGGATGAGTGAATGGGTGGGTGGATGAGTGAATGGGTGGGTGGATAGATGGGTGGGTGGATGAGTGAATGGGTGGGTGGATAGATGGATGGGTGGGTGAGTGAATGGGTGGGTGGATAAATGGATGGGTGGATGAGTGAATGGGTGGGTGGATAAATGGATGGGTGGATGAGTGAATGGGTGGGCGGATAGATGGATGGGTGGATGAGTGAATGGGTGGGCGGATAGATGAATGGGTGGGTGGATGAGTGAATGGGTGGGTGGATGAGTGAATGGGTGGGTGGATAGATGGATGGGTGGATGAGTGAATGGGTGGGCGGATAGATGAATGGGTGGGTGGATGAGTGAATGGGTGGGTGGATGAGTGAATGGGTGGGTGGATAGATGGATGGGTGGATGAGTGAATGGGTGGGCGGATAGATGAATGGGTGGGTGGATGAGTGAATGGGTGGGCGGATAGATGGATGGGTGGATGAGTGAATGGGTGGGCGGATAGATGAATGGGTGGGTGGATGAGTGAATGGGTGGGTGGATAGATGGATGGGTGGATGAGTGAATGGGTGGGTGGATAGATGGGTGGGTGGATGAGTGAATGGGTGGGTGGATAGATGGATGGGTGGATGAGTGAATGGGTGGGTGGATAGATGGGTGGGTGGATGAGTGAATGGGTGGGTGGATAGATGGATGGGTGGATGAGTGAATGGGTGGGCGGATAGATGAATGGGTGGGTGGATGAGTGAATGGGTGGGTGGATGAGTGAATGGGTGGGTGGATAGATGGATGGGTGGATGAGTTAATGGGTGGGCGGATAGATGAATGGGTGGGTGGATGAGTGAATGGGTGGGTGGATAGATGGATGGGTGGATGAGTGAATGGGTGGGTGGATAGATGGGTGGGTGGATGAGTGAATGGGTGGGTGGATAGATGGGTGGGTGGATGAGTGAATGGGTGGGTGGATAGATGGGTGGGTGGATGAGTGAATGGGTGGGTGGATAGATGGATGGGTGGATGAGTGAATGGGTGGGTGGATAGATGGGTGGGTGGATGAGTGAATGGGTGGGTGGATAGATGGATGGGTGGATGAGTGAATGGGTGGGTGGATAGATGGATGGGTGGATGAGTGAATGGGTGGGCGGATAGATGAATGGGTGGGTGGATGAGTGAATGGGTGGGTGGATAGATGGATGGGTGGATGAGTGAATGGGTGGGCGGATAGATGAATGGGTGGATGAGTGAATGGGTGGGCGGATAGATGAATGGGTGGGTGGATGAGTGAATGGGTGGGTGGATGAGTGAATGGGTGGGTGGATAGATGGATGGGTGGATGAGTGAATGGGTGGGTGGATAGATGGGTGGGTGGATGAGTGAATGGGTGGGCGGATAGATGAATGGGTGGGTGGATGAGTGAATGGGTGGGTGGATAGATGGATGGGTGGATGAGTGAATGGGTGGGCGGATAGATGAATGGGTGGGTGGATGAGTGAATGGGTGGGCGGATAGATGGATGGGTGGATGAGTGAATGGGTGGGCGGATAGATGAATGGGTGGGTGGATGAGTGAATGGGTGGGTGGATGAGTGAATGGGTGGGTGGATAGATGGGTGGGTGGATGAGTGAATGGGTGGGTGGATAGATGGGTGGGTGGATGAGTGAATGGGTGGGCGGATAGATGAATGGGTGGGTGGATGAGTGAATGGGTGGGCGGATAGATGAATGGGTGGATGAGTGAATGGGTGGGTGGATAAATAGGTGGGTGGATGAGTGAATGGGTGGGTGGATAGATGGGTGGGTGGATGAGTGAATGGGTGGGTGGATAGATGGGTGGGTGGATGAGTGAATGGGTGGGTGGATAGATGGATGGGTGGATGAGTGAATGGGTGGGCGGATAGATGAATGGGTGGGTGGATGAGTGAATGGGTGGGTGGATAGATGGGTGGGTGGATGAGTGAATGGGTGGGTGGATAAATGGATGGGTGGATGAGTGAATGGGTGGGCGGATAGATGAATGGGTGGATGAGTGAATGGGTGGGTGGATAAATGGATGGGTGGATGAGTGAATGGGTGGGCGGATAGATGGATGGGTGAATGAGTGAATGGGTGGGTGGATAAATGGATGGGTGGATGAGTGAATGGATGGGTGGATAGATGGATGGATGGATGAGTGAATGGGTGGGTGGATAGATGGATGGATGGATGAGTGAATGGGTGGGTGGGTGGATAGATGGATGAGTGAATGGGTGGGTGGATGAGTGAATGGGTGGGTGGATGAGTGAATGGGTGGGTGGACAGACGGATGGGTGGATGAGTGAATGGGTGGGTGGATGAGTGAATGGATGGGTGGATAGATGGATGGATGGATGAGTGAATGGGTGGGTGGATAGATGGATGGATGGATGAGTGAATGGATGGGTGGATAGATGGATGGATGGATGAGTGAATGGGTGGGTGGGTGGATAGATGGATGAGTGAATGGGTGGGTGGATGAGTGAATGGGTGGGTGGATGACTGAATGGGTGGGTGGATAGACGGATGGGTGGATGAGTGAATGGGTGGGTGGATGAGTGAATGGGTGGGTGGATAGATGGATGGGTGGATGAGTGAATGGGTGGGTGGATAGACGGATGGGTGGATGAGTGAATGGGTGGGTGGATGAGTGAATGGATGGGTGGATGAGTGAATGGGTGGGTGGATAGACGGATGGGTGGATGAGTGAATGGGTGGGTGGGTGGATGAGTGAATGGATGGGTGGATGAGTGAATGGGTGGGTGGATAGACGGATGGGTGGATGAGTGAATGGGTGGGTGGATGAGTGAATGGGTGGGTGGGTGGACGTGTTTTACTGATTATCAAAATGGGGAAAAAAGGTGATTTTGCAAAAAACAAAAGTTGTGATATCATTTTTTCCGTATGGCCCACCCCTAACTTTGGTACAGTTGCTTTGTGTGGTTCCATATTAATAAATACCCATAAGTCAGTCTGCAGCATCCTTTCAGTGCTCTCCTGTCCCGTGTTGCAGACAAAAGGCGTGTTTGAGAAGGTGGGGGAGGCGACCGAGACCGCCCTCTGCTGTCTGGTGGAGAAGATGAACGTGTTTGATACCGACCTGAGAGGTCTGAGGCCTGCTGAGAGAGCCACTGCCTGCTGTTCTGTAAGTGTGTAGATGGCTGATGAATGCACACACACACACACACACACACACACACACACACACGATTGGATGACTGCTGGTCAATAATGATCTCCTCTGGTATTTACCATCTGAATTATGGTTGCACTGAAAATGTTTGGCCAGAAAAGTGCATCATCGTTTTTCGGCTGAAACACCAAATCACAGAAACAGGCCATCGGGTGAACCCCATTTTGGTTTCATCTCACTCCGCCCTCATGTGGCAACTTGCTCCTTGCTTCATAAAAACCGTAGCTTCCAACTGATTTCAAAAGGAACGTTTTTCCTCCTGTAGTAACGCTGTTTTATTACGATCGCTGATCGTATCGGTTACGCGGCGTTTGGTTTCACGTCGACTGCGTCTGCACGGCCTTTTGTTTTCTTCTTTTGCATTCCCGCTACGTCGGCGACCATCAGCGTTGTTCTACCTTCAGCCACCATGTCCTGAACATGGCGGAGCGAGCTTTAGATGGTGTGTGAAGCGCGTTAACGCTCATGAAGCACACACACTTTGTTGCTGCTGGACAAGTGAACATCTTCATCAGAATCAGAGTCAGCCATTACCCAAGAGATTTGTCAACAATGAACAGACGGTGAGAGAACATGCTAACCTCACAAAGGAAGACCTCCTTGTTGCCGGGTAACGGGCCTACCCTCTCCGACCGCCGGCCTGTTCTTAGAGCAGTTGAGTCGGGAATCGTGTCACAAATACGTTTTATGTTAAACGTGTTGGTTTTCCAGTGTAGCGGCTACGCGTTGTACGATGGGGGTTAACTCTTATAACTCATCTCTTTCACACAGAACTTTAGACAAAACCTCGTGGGACCAGAGATGAGGAGTCTGGTCCAATAGCACCACAGGGACTCCTCTGAAAGCGTGTGTCCCTGTCACCAAGCAGTCGCCTGCCACCCGCCATCAGATTTACTTCATTAGCAAAGACACGACCCCTTGCAGCCACACATCACTGTTTTCTATGGGAGATGACCCAAATACATACAAAGTCGTGTGAAATAAACTACTGCGTGTCACCACGGAGCCATCCTCTGGTTCTTCCTGGGCTTTTGCTCATTTGTATTATTGTTTTGTTTTGTTTCAGGTCATAAAGCAGCTGATGAGGAAGGAGCTGACTCTGGAGTTCTCCAGAGACAGAAAGTCCATGTCCGTCTTCTGTTCATCCAACAAGCTCACCCGATCCTCTTCTGGAGCCAGAATGTTTGTTAAGGTCTGCTACGGCTCACCCCTTTAGTCATCCAGCACCTGCAGGCAGATGCTCTCCTGACTTCTTTACCCCCCCCCCCACCAGGGAGCTCCAGAGAGCGTGTTGGAGCGCTGCAGCTTCGTCCGTGTAAGTGGCTCCGGTCGCGTGCCGTTGAGCTCGGCCATTAGAGAGCAGATCCTGTCCACCGTGCGAGAGTGGGGCTCAGGCCGCGACATGCTGCGCTGCCTCGCCATGGCAACCAGAGACACACCCCCTGACGTCCACGCGCTCAACGTGGAAAACTCGGCAGCCTTTGCTGGCTATGAGGTGATGACGCAGCTCGGATCTACCTGAGCTGTGATTGGTTGTGTTACGAAGTTAAAGCATCCCGGTCTACATGGTCTCGCTGTACTTTCCCTCCGTGTCCTTTATCCTCCCAGTCGGACCTGACGTTTGTAGGCTGTGTGGGGATGCTGGACCCCCCAAGGAAGGAGGTGCTCAGTGCAGTCCGAATGTGCCGGCAGGCTGGCATCCGCGTCATCATGATCACAGGTGAGTTCTCACGAAGCACCACACAAACAGCGGGGAGCCCTGGCAGACCACACCCTATAGGAATAATTTTACATCATTGGGTGCACTTCCTGCTTTTGACACAAAGATCAAATCAAAGGTTGTTTATGTAACACTTTAAAACAACAACTAGTCGAGCAACGGGCTTAACGGAGATAAAAACACATCGTAAAAGAGCGTGAAACCGGCACGGACAGAGCTGGAAACAGCAGAGTAGCCAGAGTATTCCAGGAAAAGACAAAATAAACGTACACGAATAGTTTTAGAGTAACAGAAATAAAAACAGGACAGTGTCAACCTCCAAAAGCCAAGGAGTGGAAGCAAGGCCGGATTAACCACAAGGGCAACTGGGCAATTGCCCAGGGCCCACGAACTCTAAAGGGCCCAGGGCAGCAAGGGCACGAGCAAATTACTGTATCTGTAATCTCCCGCTTTATATTAAACTAGGGTGACCGTACGTCCTCTTTTCCGCGGACATGTCTGCTTTTCACTCTCTGTCCGGGCGTCCGGGGGGGGTTCTTGTATTGATGAATGTCCGGTTTTTCATCCAGGAGCAGGGATCGAATTATGGGGGAGCTGGATATCCTACACATCCAGGGGAGCCGGAAAAAACGTTTTCTACCTATATGACATCATTTATGGACTCTTCTGAGCGGAGAGCACAGAGAGCGGCACAGCGCTGATCGCTCCAGGCTGCTGCGTCCAGCGCACGGTCCATTCTCGAAAAGTGGCGTAACCAAAAAACTATTATTAGCACACGATCGTTCATGTCCGCACATGTTCTCTATTTTCTGTCTTATCTGTGCCTGAAGCGCTCTGCTACTGCGGAGCTCATCACCTGTGCTGCGGTGATGTCACCTCACTGACGCAGCATCGAAACGCGCTCTCCGCTTTACGGTCAGGAGATCGTTGATCTGCTCAGAAGTAAATGATGAGGTGAAAAAGTAAGAATCCAGGCAGCAGATTTTCTGGAGAGTTTAGAGGAGATGCAGGAAGTTGAGAGACAGACAGGACAGGAAAATAGTTAAATAAAAACAAGAAAACAAAGTCAAATGTAGGTAGATTTATCTCCACTACACGTTTTTACCTGTATAAAACAATAAGTTACACACATGTAATATCTATACATCTGATACAATTCAGATCACCTTCAAAACTGAAGCCTAGTCCACACGTAGCCGGGTTTTTTAAAAACGAATATCCGCCCCTCCAAAAACTTGCATCCACACCACCTCGTTTTAAAAAGAAACTGTCCACGCGTACCCGGATAAATACGTTGTTAAGGACATGCCAGACCTGTAGGCGGCAGTACTTCCCCCGTTCTTAACCTCGTCCTTCGTCTGTGGTCTTCCGCAAGGAGCAGTAATTCCTCTTGCAAAAACAAACAAGCAGAAAGCGCTTGGACGATTGATAAAGCGAGCGCAGCTCTGAGGGCATCCATGCTGTCGGCTAGTGTAAACACAGGTCGCACACGTGATGTCAGCATTTTTCTGTCGCGGAAAGTGACGTTGCGGACCTTAAAACTCTGGTTTTGTCCGTCCACACGCAGACACCCAAAACGGAGAAAACGCAGATCTTCACTTTGGCCGGAGTTTTTAAAAAGATCCGTTTTCGTGTGAATGACAGGCCAAAACGTAGAAAAACATCTACGTTTTGGCAGATCCCCGGCTACGTGTGGACAGGGCCTCAGTCTCACACCCAGGGCCATTTCAAGACATTTTGGGGGCCAATGCAGACTGACCAATGAAGAGAGGGCCAAAGGTTACCCTGAGTGGGTTACATGATGTCAGGCATTCAAGTATTGAGTATATTTACTGCATATTACAGTAAAATATTCTGTATGTGACCATATTATGGTGATCCTTGGGCCGTGATGATGGGGCCCTTGAATATTGTTGCCCAGGGTACAACAAAGTGTTAATCCGGCCCTGAGTAGAAGTACATTTTTAAAATGGATTTTAAAAACAGGCAGTTCTGACGTCTGTTCCACAGTTTAGGGGCACAAACTGCAACGCCCGGTCGCCCCAGCATTTACATTTGGATCTAATACGCTTTAAGCCCGTTTCCTGAGGGCCCTGGCTGGTCAGTAGAGATGGATCTGCTTGTTCAGATGGGATGGTGCCAATCCGTTAATTGGTTTAAAAACAAAAGTCAGTCATTGAAAATCAATCCCAAACTGAACTGGGAGCCAGTGGAGAGGCCAGAACAGGAGTGATGTGTTCAAATTAGCCTTTGCTTGTCAGCAGGTGAGCGGCAGCATTTTGGACCGCCTGAAGACGTGAAGCAGATGACTTATTTAATCCAGAAAGATCATTATAGCAGTCGAGTCTGGAGCTGATGAAGCATGGATCGCTTTCTCAAGGTGGTTAACCCTCCCACTGTCCTAATGGGGGTGACCCCGCCAGGAAAGCTGACCATTGAGCATCGATGGTTTATCCCTTGGGTCCACGTGGCAGGAGTGAGGAGGTGCTCACTTTCCTGGCGGGGTCACACCCATTAGGACAGTGGGAGGGTTAAAGAAAAAAAGGGTTCGTCTTTAATCAGTAATCCTAAGTGGAAAAAACTAGATTTCACCGCAAAGTTCATTTGTCTACGTCTAGATGGTTATCAGGTTCTTTGCAGGAGCCTGCCACGGCTGCTGCGGCCGAGGATTTCCTCTCTGCTGATTAGTGCAGACTCACTTTACCGTTTCATCTCCTTTTTCATGTGGTCATCAACTCCCACATCCCGTGGCTTTTTAGGTATTTTTGTTGAGGTCGTTGGCGGTTTGTGATTTAACACAGCCTCTCAGACCTGTTCTGTGAGAGGACGAGATGCACATCCGACAGGACCGGTCCGGTCCTTGTCCCGGTAGTCAGAGAGTCTGTCTCTGTTCTAAACAGCTCTTCGTCTGTCTCCTCCTCCAGGGGACAATAAAGGGACAGCGCTGTCCATCTGCAGGAGGGTGGGCATCATCACAGAGCAGGAGGAGGAGCAGGAGGGCGCCGGCGCGATCGGGGGACTGACAGGCAGGGAGTTTGATGAGCTGCCGCCTCACCTGCAGCGTCAGGCCTGCCAGACGGCGCGGTGCTTTGCCCG